CTACGGCTTCGCAATCGCACAAGATTAGTCATTAAAAATTAATGCCAAACATTATCGAAACAAACATTTTGAATGCAAAATGAATTTAAATGCTCTCAATTTTCAATTAGATTGGCATGCGCAATGACGATCAATAAGTCAGAAGGCTAAACGATGTCTGTTTGTGGCTTAGATTTGGATACACCACGCTTTTCTTACGGCTATAGCTATCAATTATAATTACATCCCCCAAACTATTAATTCTTTAAAAAGAAAAAATCCTAGAAAAAATATTTCTTTACAAACCATTTCCCAAAAATAATGTACATATATGTGCCCATAATTATGAAAGAGGTCTAAGTCACTTATTTCATATCCTTGGAATCATAAAAACAAATCAGCATTTTCTTCACTTTTGACATCTACAGGCGCGATTTTTTGGTTTTCGGCTCATTTCTCTTTCACTTTGGAAACGTTGAAACCACTCGTGCACTCTGCTACGGGATAGGCAATCATTGCCATAAACTTGTTTCATCAATTGAAACGTTTCGGAAAAAGTTTCACCAACTTTGAAACAAAATTTACTGTTGGCTCTTTGATCGAAGCTCATTTTCTCAACGATGACAAAAACATACTGACACTTAAAACGCAATAACTTCACTTCCAATAGATGAAATGTGTAAAGTAGTGAAGAAATGTATCTGAAATGGGTCTTTCAGCAAGACAATGACTCAAAACACACAAATCGAGCGTTTCAATCATACTGTGACGAACACGGAGGATAGAACAAAATCGAATCGACGTTAAACCAGAATCAACTAAAGTTTTGTTAAAGATCTACTATATATTTCTAGTTAGAGTTGTGGGGTGTGCACAATAATGTTTGATTTATTTACTTTCCAAAAAGTGATACAATGTGTGTCATACAAAAATAGTGATACGTGTTTACAGCTGGACGACCAGTGAAGAAAAGGGAAGATGAAGATACGTCAGCATGACAGATAGTCTAGGTTGAACGTTGCCATATCTGCTTGTATAAATAATTCTTGCAGAGTTGCATTTGTGATTGCCATATCACTCTCCCCTATGCGGGAAAGCGACAACGTACTCATCGTACAGATTTTGTCTGGTACTCTTTTGACTGGGTTATTTGATTCGACGAATTTTGGCTATCCTCGGCGACGAAGGCTGATTTTATCCGGTCGATGGAAATGTTCATGTCTTTTCCACTTTGAAAAACTTGTCGTTGGGTTCGACTACTGGAAATGGTCGTACGGTGGTTGAAGCGGTTGGGGAATTGCGTCGTTGCGCACGAAAACTGAAGGTGTTGTGTGCCAATTCATTTCCACGAATGGTGCATGATGGTGAGTGGTACGCAAGTGTTTTATGCAGTGGAAGAGTGCAGATTAAAATTGTTTTCCCTGGTCCGTTGTTACTCTAGTCGGTACTCCAAATCTCGCGATCCAATGTGTGTAGAAATGAAAAGCAATTGTTTCTGTCGTCATATCTTCGAGCGGGTATGTCTCCCACCATTGGGGCAACGATTGACTATTGTCAAGCAGTATCGATATCCCTTGCAAGGTGGTAATGCTCCGACGATATCCATGTTGATATGGTCAAATCGTTGATCCGGTAAAATGAATGTTAATAGGGGTGCTCTGTTGTGGCCTTTTATTTTGGCTCTTTGGCATGGAATGCACTGCCTGGACCATAAGCGACAATCTTTTCGGAGACCAGGCCACGCGAACTTCTCCGCGATCAATTTTTTGGTTTTGGCGTTGCCGGTGTGTCCCATGTTGTGTATGGAGTCGAAAAATGTTTTGCGAAACGAAGGAGTTAGGTATGGTCGGGCTTTGCTGGTGCTTACATCACAAAAGATTTCTACGTCTGTGCCTGGAACCGTGAAAGGCTTAATTTGTAAGCTGAAATTCGAATTTATGTTTGAAGTATGTATGGCTCTCTCTTCCGGGGATGTATCGAATGTCTGTTGAAAATTGTGCGATAAATTCAGAATGGAGCAGTCACGAGTTTGAATAACGTCGTTTGCCTTTCAGCGGCGCAAAGCAAAAACCTGCGGAAAAAGTTTACCCTGCCGTAGAAACGTCGCAAGTCACATGCTCTACTGGGTAATTAAAAATTTGGAATTGCATGCACTCGTTCTTTTGGTGGTGAGATTCCGCTGCTGTTTATCTTGAAACCTAAGAAGTTACCTTGCAGCTGGCCTAGTATACACTTCGATTGGTTGATAACCAAACCGTACTCGCATAGGTTTGTTGGTTCACATCCTTCGACGATATCAAAATGTCATCGAGATATGGCCAGGCGAAATCGTATTCGCAGAAGACGTGATCCATGAATCTTTGGAATGTTTGACTGGCATTTTTAAACCAAAGCACATGAAAGGGAATTCAAACATGCCATATGGTGTGGTGATTGCTTGCTTTGGTATATCGTTGGGTTCGACAGGAATCTGGTGGTACGCCCGGCGCAGATAGAGTGTGGAAAAAATTCTGCAACCATGCAATGAGTGAGTGAAGTCTTGCAAGTGTGGAAGGAGGTACCTGTCAGGTTAGTAATGGACTGACACATGGGCTGCAAGATAGACGACAAATGCCTGCATCTAGCATGAATTATATCTCGGCTTTAGCTGCTTTTAGTTTTTCAGGTGATAAGCGTCTCGGTTTGGAGAAAATTGATGGCCCTTTGGGGACGATGTGATGTTTGACTGTGGTTTATTGGTCGTGAAATTTCTACCGTGATGTCTTTGAATTCTCTCAGCAAATCCTGGAACGGTAGATTTTTGTTAATGCATGATAAATTTACGGCTTTGCGGGCCAGAATGGTGGAATTTTGATGGACATTTTAGCAACTTCCACGCTTCGAGGCTGCAAATTTTTTCTTGCAAATTTTTGCTTGGTCGGGGTCACCAATATGTGGGATATCCAGAATAATGTTTGATTTATTTACTTTCCACAAATTATACAATGTGATTACATACATAAATAGTGATACGTGTTTACAGCTGGACGATCCGTGAAGAAAAGGGAAGATGGAGGTACGTCAGCATGACAGATAGTCTAGGTTGAACGTTGCCATATCTGCTTGTATAAATAATTCTTGCAGAGTTGCATTTGTGATTGCCACAGAATGGTGCCGTATAAAGAGCAATTGAGATAAGAAGTTGTAAATTCTTATAATGAGTAGTAAAGTCTTAAGCTGTTTCGATTAGAAATAAAGATAAGAGTAGAGCATATAAATTGGGACTTTTATTTAACAATCCAGTGATCGAACTCAATAGTGAGTTACAAGATAGACGATTTATCGAGAAATCCGTTGCAATATTAATAACTTTTACTTGCGTAGAACTTGTAATAAAAATTAAGTTATAAAAATTGTGAACATCCCTTGTACGGAAATTTTATTTTAGAGTTTGAGAGTACACAAATAAACAAACAGAGAGGGCCAAAGATATCGACACAAATATATAATATAAATAGTAGTTTTTCTACATGCGTTTACTCTCATTTATTTAACTACGTTTATTTAGGTCCATACATTTGTATGGCCTTATATTTGTGCAATATTTCAATGGTATATATGGTGAAGCCCAAAACAAAAGCCTTCACCCATCTAATTAACTTTATCAATTATACCATAAAAATGCTAGTAAGAGAGAGATATACGTGGTATTAGACGAGTTACACTTCCACAATGTATTGAGCTCGATGCCTATAAATAAATTCCAATCTATTTCTACTTTCCATTTTCTAAATATATTAATTTACGTTTTTCATTTGACTTTATATTTTTTGCAATAATACATTAAAATAAATGTTAATAAATATAATTTGTTGACATTCGCTAAGCTCGTTATCATTTAATATCTAAACTAATTGTAAACGGGCTTCTATACACGCTATAAAATGGAATTGATATTCTGTGCCATAATTCGTTATGACCAAGGAAGGGCAAAGTCTTATGCTGGAAATAATGACCGACGTGCCGCCTTATCGTCTGTACCAAACGAAATTTGTCAAAAGATATGCCCGTAGTGACAACGTAGAAATCAGTTATTCTCTTTTATTTTTATTTGACCAACGTTGCCATTGCTCAATGTATCTAGAGGGTTTTGCACACATTTAGCTTTTCAGTTATAATTTTTCTTAATGTAAAAGATGAAAACTAAAACCCAAACATTAAAAATAGTCTACCTCTTTATTAATAATTGTATTTGGCTGTGATGTTGAGTTAGTTTAAGAACATTTCTATATTTCATATACTAAAAAATGTGACTAGCAGTGAAAATTGTCTACCCCAAAAAAAGTTTAATATTTTAGTAAACTCAATATTTTTCAATTAAAAAACTTTTTGTTACTTTTTTTAGAAAAAATTGAATTTATTTTAAACAAGTAAGGAAGGGCTATGTTAGGATGTAACCGAACATTTTATATATGCACTTTTCATATTGTGCGAAAATGGGCGAAATCGGACTACAACCACGCCTATTTCCCATATAACACCATTTTCAATTCCATCTGATTCTTTCACTTTCACAAAGAAATCTCAAACGAGTATACCATTTGACTTTGCGAGAGTATAAAATGTTCGGTTACATCCTTACTTAGCCCTTCCTTACTTGTTTTTGATTTGGATTTGTAAGCCTTTTACACTTCTAAATATTTCTTTCAGCATTTCAAATCAGTGTTCAATTCGAATTCTATAGCGACTGAATATAAAGTTACCTTTGGGTACACTATTTGAAATGAATGGTACAGTGTATCTAAATTTTTCACTCAGAGCCAACGCATACATCATTTTACTTCATTTAGTCAATTAAAGTAAAAACAATTTAATTTTAATTCATACCGTCATCGTCACAAAAGAATTCAACAAGCATTAATTCGTTTATGTTAATGCTGCTACTTTCAATAATTTTAAAAGTTTTTCTTTTTCACTTGCTCATCATTCAGGCCGAGTTAGAATTATTCTTGTTTTTAAAATACATTATTTTCCATTGACAGATTTTTACGACGAGAAAACGAGTGCAGTTATGGAGTCAAAAATCATAACACCGAGTTAATGTGGTTTGTATATGGCTATCCAAAACCCAAGATGACATACTATTTTGATGACACGCTCATAGAACCTGGAGGAAGGTTCGACTACAGTTATACTCGAAATGGGCAGGCTACCCTCTTCATAAATAAGTAAGTTCTTAAGGATTAAAATGAGTAGTTTTTAATTAATAAACTATTTTATAAGATGCATATGTATGTAATTCAAGTAATCTATTTTTATACTCTAGCAACAAGTTACAACAGAATATAACAGTTTTGTTAACCTAACGGTTTTTTGTAATACCTAAATCTAATTGATAGAGTTAAAAGAAGTTTTCTCGATTTTGCAAATTGTCACGAATGAACCGGCAAAGCTATTGCGACTTTAATGTACAAAATGTAATGACCTGTAAATATGAAGGAGCAAAATCACATCCAATGTAAAAGTAAGTATGCAGTTCCTTTGCCCTGTGTGCACCCCTCACGCTGAAATGGTTGGAGTCGCCTCGGCTGAATGCTGACCTCGATTAATAACTTTTTTTGGCGTCGTTCAAAAAGGTTTCAATATTTTCAGTAGCAGCACATAACTTTGGGAAACTCTTAAATCCCCCATATGGTTTAAAATCCTTCAGTCAATCAATGAAAGAAACATGGTTCTTCAAGAGATCAATGCCTCCAACGTCTCTCAAGTTAGAAATAAAGAAAGCCTTCTTGTAGATTTGCAGCGAATTTAGAGCATGTCAAGACGATTTAGCCATCAGTAAAAAAAAATATACGGAAGCGACCAAGATGAAGAACTGGATGAAAATGGTCATGATATGAAAGAAGATGAACTCAATGCAGCTGCAAACAATTTTGCTTCTTCTTGTCTTCTTATACAACTTATTGAATGCCATAAATGCTCGAAAATTACAAACACTTTTCTCAAATATTGGCACCGTTTCGAGGATATTTTGCACTTTTCCCGTTTTTTTTAAGGATCCAAAATTTTCATCGATATTGCTCGCCACAGGGCAATATTTCAGTACTATCTACACTGTGCCTAGAGGCAGAATTAGCCAAGAAGTTGGATTTCCAGATTAAACTGCGTGTTCAAAAACTTAATCATGATAGTCAACAGATTTGAAGAGAACCGTTTTTTCATTAATTAGAACGATAAATAAATGTTTAAATGAGATGTTTCTATCTTCTTATTAACTGCCAATTCTTGTTTTCTTTATATTCATATATTCCGGTATAATCTGAAAAAACAGTTTTGACTGGAAGTCTATGTATGGACTGATTTATACATTATTCATTTTCAAAATTGTACAAAACAAATTTCAATATCAACAAGAGAGCAAAAATTTAATGCAGATGTGTTGAGAGCAAAAAACACTGTGTCATATTTGACTTATTCTTCAAAAACATTAAAGTTGTATGTGGGAAGATAGTTAACAAAGTTTTAAAGTATTAAAAACATTAAAAATATATATATATAGGAGCCATTGCTTTTTTAAAATATATAATTTATTTATATATAAATAAAGACGCGGTTTTAATACTATTTGTTACGAACGATATAGCAGCATGATTAACGTAATCCTCGTGAGTCCTACCTGCTTATGTATGAACTGACGTGGCGCGTTCTGATTGGTCCAATAAGCGAAACGGGAGCAATCATTAAAATTAGCACAGCAGGCAATGGGAAAATCGGGAGCCGATCATGCATTCGAATGATAACTTTCAAAGGGAAATTTCTCTACCCTCATCGCGCACTACATATAAACGCAAATTACTTGTATAATGTCGCGCGAGAATAATTCGGATTCATCTGCTACACTTGCTGATTTCGCTCTTGGGTATAATTTCACTGCAGCCAACAGTCTCCCTACTTCAACCAGCTTTCCAATAGTGTACAATCCAGAAGATAATAGTGTTACTGACCGGGCTGCTAATCAGCGAATTCCTGTGACACACACTGAAAGTTTGAACGCAGGCGTATCAAATGCAGCTCCCCCAGCCGATAGGGTGTATACGGTATCACCCCAACAAGTGCATCTTCTAGAAAGCTAACTCATACGTCCTGTTCACTCCGTAGATTCCGTTGGTCCACTAGGGCTTCGTCGTCGCGGTGAGTTGCTACAAGAGCAAAGCGAAATCCTGTCATAGAGGGAGACCTTATTAAGAGAATAGCACATCTTTTTGCAACGCCTATGAACTCAAACGGGTTGAGGGATCAGGTGCATCTTCCATCCCAGATGCTGCAGCTACTGCCACAATTTGTAGAACCATTTACTAGAACAGCTACTGTTGTAAATGGTATTACTAATAGTGGGCCCTCACTATAGAACAATATTCCAGCCGGAATATTAACTGGTCTGCAAGGTGAAACTGATATACGAACACCGATCTTTCAATCCTTATTGGACCGAATACAGTCACTTGAACAACAGTTGCGACGGAACTCGATGCTCTATCCGCTCTACATACAACTTTTCCGAGAGCTGGACACGCTAACAGCTTGTCCTTTGGTGCTTCAGCTTACTCGGGATCAAGTTGCTTCAAAATCAAAGTTTCATTACTACATTTTGCTATGTGTCCGAGATATTTGTGGTATATTAACACCTAACTAATTAATCAAAGAGGCTAAATATCGACCAGATGACACCATATTAGGGATATGAGGTTAAAACCAAGGGTTCGACTAAGCATAAAGTATGCTACAATAACGAAAATAATTATATGTGGGAGTTTGTGGACTGATTCCACACATTTTCGGAGTTAATTTTGCTAAGATATTGCACCCGATACAAAGCCAACCGGAAGTTTGAAATTCTTATATTAGATATATGGGAGCTAATATAAGTTTTCAGCCAATTTTATTCATTTTATGCACAAGTATACACTGTTGACAGAAATAGACTTTAATGAAATTTAATGCTTCTGACACATAATGTGTTATCACATTTTCAGTAGTTTTCAACATAATCGTTATATGGGGAGTAAGCGGAAAATCCATGTGCATGTGTCTTAATTTTAAGTCATGTTACAGCTTGCACGGTCGGACGGACGGACAGAAATTCGACTCGTCTCGTCATCCTGATCATTAAACTATATATATATATACATCTTTACATAACTCTATCTTAATTAGTTTAAGAACTTACAAATAACTGTTAGGTTAACAAAACATCAACATGGTGCGAAAGTATAAAAAACGCGATAGTCAACTAGTATTGATAAAGTGAAAGCAATTTTAGACAAATGAAATATTATAATTATTACTTATAGTAAAATTACTTAAAGTAAATTAACACTATTTGTTGCCCATTATTAAATCTGTTTCTTTAAGTTTGTATGTTTATTAATATGGCATATTTGACAAATATAGATAACTTGTGATTAATATAAGTTTTAAATTAGATGGATAGACATAATTACATATGTATATTTCTATATAAATAGAACTACTTTCAGAATATACTTACATATACTATAATTATATATGCTATACAGATCATATAGCAATTATATGAATTATAAATTTTTAAGTTCTCAAGAAGCTCTGCCCTGATTTTACCTAAGATTATAACGCAAGATATTTCTATTATTCACGGAAAGGATGATTGAGCGAGATGTTGGGTGGTATGAAGCGGTTGCCACTAACGAATATGGCGAAGCTAGGCAGAGAGTCAAATTAATGATAGCTGACTATCCACGCTTTCTAAAGCGCCCTGACGAAACGTATATCATGATGAGAAAAAATGGTCGCTTAGAAGCTCATATTGTTGGCGATCCATTACCGGAAATCAGATGGTTTAAAGACTGGCAACCCATTGCCGACAATGCCCGAATTAAGGTCTGTATACAAAATAGAAAAGTTCTAAATTATAATTATTTTGTTAACATTTTCTCGTGTCGTTGCAGACTAATTATTACGAACCAAATATTTATGTGCTTTCAATTAATGATGCAATAATTAGAGATGAGGGTCTATATTCGGTTTGTGCCCGCAATGTGGCAGGATCCATAAGCACATCTGTGATGCTTCATATAGAGGAAAATGAAGACACATATATCTATAAAACATATGGAAGGTTGCCATACATTCGAGCGAAACAAAACCGTTATAACGATAAATACGATATCGGTGATGAATTAGGGCGTGGTACACAAGGAATCACTTACCACGCGGTTGAACGTGCAACAAGTGATAACTATGCCGCGAAAATTATGTATGGTCGACACGAATTACGACCGTTCATGTTAAATGAGTTGGAAATTATGAATGGCCTTAATCATAAAAATCTGATTCAACTACATGATGCTTATGACCTTGACAAAAATGTTACCCTAATTATCGAGTTAGCAGCCGGTGGAGAACTGGTCAAAAACAACTTACTTAAACGAAACTATTACACTGAAAGAGATATTGCATACTACATAAGACAAGCATTATGGGGCTTGGACCACATGCACGATCATGGTATTGGACATATGGGGCTAACGGTAAGAGTTAATACTTTAAAAAAAATAAACTCAAAATAAACTAAATCCGAAAAATGTTGATTCCCAAGAATTTAATGTTTTCATAAATAATAGTGGGTAAAAAAATTAAAAAAGGAAATATGTGGTTGATATGGCCAACTACCAATTTATGAGCAGTAAAAAACGCATACATATATTTTTTGTATTCTTAGGCAAGCAGCGACACTGACGCCCTCATATTCGGTATTTGTTGGCTTAAAAAGTTACAGTCCGAATATTTTTGTGAATTTAAAGCACTTTGAATACCCTATTTTTGTAAAATACGATATTTTTCGTCTTGTTCAATGTTAAATTTTTTATTGTAAAGTGAGGGAAAGTACCGAAATTTTAACTGTATTATATGAAAATTATAGCATATGGATGTCAAGATAAAGCTATGCGTCATATTTCTTCAGACATGTACAGTATTCGCATACCACATGTTTTATACCAATTTTGCAGATAAAAAAAAATATAATCAAAATAAATTAGTAAACTTATATGCCATTTCAAGTATAAACGTTTATATTTTTCAACTTATTAAAGAAACTTATTTTTCCAAAAAATATCGTATTTTTAAGCATGTTTAAAATTTTCTATACAGCAAAATTCATATTCGTACACTATTTACACTACAAAAAATAAATGTTACAATAAAATTAATCTTTGTTTTAAAACAGCATGTAAGCGGCATGCCATCGATTTCACCAGTTTTTTTGTGAGTTTTGGTGTTATATATTTTCATTTTTTTGGTAAAGCTCGTTTTAGGTTCGGAATGTTTCAAATGGTATAATTTTTTAATGAAGTTTTCAAAACAGACCACAAGTTTTCAATTAGGTTTAGCTATGGGCACTGAGGTGTTGTTTTCATGTATATTGGGAAGTTGTATAATATCCAAAGCCTTGTATCTAATGACGTATGTTTGGAGTCATTATCCTGCTGGAAGATGAAACGACACCCTAAGCCCAATTTTTCAGCACTTTGGTGTAAATTTCTTTTTAATTTATCTATATACTTCTTATCATTCAAGATTCCATCAATAAAGGGCAAGTTTCCTATTCCCGAAGCACTGAAACATCCCCAAACAATCACAGATGATACACCGTATTTAAACGTGGGCATAATATTTTGTTTATGCAAGCTAGTATTTGCCTCCCTCCATATTTTAACTATTCCATCTGCCAGCTTCAATTTGAATTTTGACTCATCACTGAAAATAACTCTATACCAAAAGTGATGCTCCTTATTTTTAAAAGTTTTTGCAAAAATTATACAAATTCTTCGATTTATTAAATCAATAAATGGTTTTCTTCGTGCCCCTCTGCTCCAAAATCTGATTTTTATACTCGCGCAACTCGTTGCTACAGAGTATAATATTGTAGTTTTGTTCACCTAACGGTTGTTTGTATCACCTAAAACTAATCGAGTTAGATATAGGGTTATGTATATATAAATGATCAGGATGAAGAGACGAGTTGAAATTCGGGTGACTGTCTGTCCGTCCGTCCGTCTGTCCGTCCATCTGTGCAAGCTGTAACTTGAGTAAAAATTGAGATTTCTTTATGAAACTTGGTATACATGTTTCTTGGTACCGTAAGACGGTTGGTATTGCAGATGGGCGTAAAACACTTAATTGCCATAACTAAGCTCCACCACAAGATACAAGACTCTTATTTAGTATACAGGTTCACTTAAGGGAGGGGCATCTGCAGTATACATTTTTTTTAAAGTGGGCGTGGTTCCGCCCCCTAATAAGTTTAATGTGCTTATCTCCTATACCACTGAAGATATAATAACCAAATTCACTGAGAACAAGTTTTTAGCATCTCTTTCGACATTAAATTTTATCTCTGGGATGGTATAAAATGATTTTATTGGAGCGACGTCAAAATTAGATAGTGGACGTAGCACCGCCCGCTTTTAGGTGAAACCCCATATCTTGGGATCTGCTTAACCGATGATTTCAACCAGTTCGGTACATAATATTCTTCTCATATTTCTATGTTATAGTACGAAAATGGGCGAAATCGGATTACAACCACGCAAAACATCATTTTAAATTCCATCTGATATTTTCACTTTCCAGTATGCAAATCAAGCAACAATGATTATATCGGCGTAAAACTTTGCGTGAACAACACGTTTAAAGTATGCCACTTTGTGACCAAAAATTACCTAAATTGAAAAAGTGTTCAAGCCCCTAAGTACTGAATATGTGGACCCCAGTGCCTATAGTTGACTTTTTACCGAAAATATCGGTCAACGAGAACAAGGCGGCAAGATCCACAAATAAATCTCAAACGAGTATACCATTTGACTTTGCGAGAGTATAAAATGTTCGGTTACATTCGAACTTATCCCTTCCGTACTTGTTGTTTTTAGTTCTAAATAGATACAAATTTTTCAATAAAAAGTCATCGAAATACTTATTTATTGTTCGATATTTATTTCTACTAAATATTATTTCTAGTCAATGTAATTACTAAATAATGCATAGCGTGATGTCTTATTTTAAAAATGTAAAAACGGATATAACGTCCAATGTCACCAATGTGGAAAGCTACTGAAATATAACACCGGTCAACAGCATTGTTGCGCATATGGTATACACACCTTATTTTTGGAATAAGAATAAGAAAAACAATTAAGGGCTAAGTTCGGGTGTAGCCGAACCTCTCATACTCTTGCAACTTGCAAGGATCAAAGCCGGGAAAATACCTTCCGGTGTTGGCAGACATATTAGAAAATGTTTCATATTAGAAAATGTATCGAAAAGTTTCAACTTTATTGTTTGACGAAATCGTGAATAAATTACACTCGAATTTGGTCTTATATTAACATATTTTGAAGGTCATAAACGCCCCTTTTATTTAAAATTTGAGTTGATGTAAAAAACGTCAACCAAAGGATTAAAATTCATTATATTCGACAAAATATAATTTAATATCTTTGAAGAAAACGTGTTCACTTAATTCCATTAAAATGTCATACATTTTGACCAACCTAAACAGTTTCCACCGAACTTTAGGTGGAAAGTCGGAAATCATTAAATTGGATATATTAGGGGCAGAGAAATTGAATGGCTAACTTTTTTATTTATTATTACTTTTAATTTTATCATTAATTTTTGATATTGTTCAGATATACTTGAGAAGTTATTTTCAAAACAATTTATCAATTTATAAATATAATGTATATGTATATGTATATATGTAGGATATTGAGTCATGTTAGCCGCATGTCTCAGAATCCTGAATAGCAGTTATATAATATGTTGCAAGAGCATACAAATTTTAAGTTATGAATTTGCTTCTATATAAAAAAAGGAAAGGATTAACTCAATAAAAATACACAAACTTTTTACTTAAAAATAATTTATTAAAAGATACCCATCATCCATTTAGGATCATTCTTACAGTAGACATTTTAAAATTGAATCTAAATGTTTAAGAATTAACAGTTTTACTTTTCCTGTCATATTCCGTAGAATTTTATATTATTAACACCCAAATATAATATTATATTATATAATGCCATCATTATCATGCTTACAGTATACTTTCCTTGGTAACGTCCCATAATATTGTACCTTTAAATGTATCTCGCTGATAAGGAAATTCAAAATCGTGTCAGTGATCAGCTCGTCATCTGTGATGGATGGCTGTTCTGAGAGAGTTGTTGATTTTCCATCAAAGGTACAAGATTTTTTTCTGTATGTGGATATCGATGGCAGATCAGCATAAAATGATTTCTTTGAATTTTTTCTCTTGAGTGGATTAACTATTCAATGTGAGTAATGATCACCTGGTTCTATTCAAACTCTTGACACTGCAAACTTTATTGTTCTTTTTTTACCTCGGTACCAGCCTACAATAAAACGTAACATATTATAATTAATACAGAAACGAGGAAATAAACTCACAATCCAGAATATATATATTAGGTCAAGTAAAAAGTTCGTTCGGTTTTTATCTAAGAGATGGCGTTATTGTCCATAGTACTAGCGTTACGTGTCAAAGCGGCTGAAAAAATTAATTTAGTTTATGGGCCCGATACTGTAAACAAACGTGTAGCACTAAAGTGATTTGCTGGGTTCCGTTCCGGTAATTTCGATGTCAAAGATGCACCACGCGACGGGAGGCCTGTCGTCTAAAATTGCGATAAAATCATAGAAATAGTGGAAACAGACCGTCACGTGAGCACTTATTTAATAGCTGAGGAACTAAAGATAAGCCAGAAAACCGTTTGGAACCATTTGCATAACCTTGGATTCAAAAAGAAGCTCGATGTTTGGGTGCCCCACGAACTAACGCAAAAAAACATGATGGACTGAATTTCCATCTGCGAATCGCTGCTGAATCGCAACAAAATCGACCCGTTTCTGAAGCGGATTGTGACTGGCGATGAAAAATGGGTCACTTACGACAATATCGAGCGCAAACGGTCGTGGTCAAAGCTCGGGGAAGCGGCCCAGACGGTGGCCAAGACCGGATTGACAGCCAGGAAGGTTTTGTTGCGTGTTTGGTGGGATTCGCAAGAAATCATTTACTACGAGCTGCTCCCCTATGGCTAAACGCTCAATTGAGCCCTCTACTGCCAACAACTAGACCGCTTGAAGGCAACACTCACCCAGAAGAGGCCATCTATGATCAACAGCGGCCGAATTGTGTTCCATCAGAACAATGCCAGCCACACACGTCTTTGGTGACGTCAATAAAAAACCGAACGAACTGTTTACTTTACCTAATATATGCAAGTGTTGCATGAAGTGGAACCTATTTGTAGTCCTGATTTTTAACAGGAAGATTGATAGATAGATAGCAATAATAGAGAAAACAAATTTTCCGAAAAGAATAATTTCAAAGTGAAATAATTTTTGGAGACTCACGGGCCTGAAAAAAAATAAATTGGTTACGCGGGTGTAATTACAATTATCTGTTTTACTGCTGGATGTTTCAAAATCCTGATATTAGTTAGTTATATGGAGCCTAGGGCAAGTTTTTACCAATTTTATTCATTTAAGGCACAAAGATGCACCGTTATTAGAAAACCACGCTCACCCAATTTTATTCAGATAGCTCACAGATTCGCCGATGGCGTATAAAGTCAACCGGAAGTTCGAAAATCTTTCTATTAGGTATATGAGAGATATTCAACCCATTGGGACATACAGACATACTATTATCGTAGAAGGATTGTCTTGGAGTTTCAATTATATATCTCACACATTGATCAATATTTATGGTAAAAGGTCAACCATAGGCACTGGGCTGCACATCTGTTGTATCATATGGCTTGAACAGTTATGGTCCGTATTTGACGATTTTTACACTTGTGATGGCATACCTTAAAGGTACTATTTGTGCAAAGTTTAATCCTTATATATTCATTGGTGCTTGATTTGTATACTGGAAGTCAAAGAATCAGATGTAATTTAAAATTACATTTATGGGAGTTAGCGTTGTTGTAGTCCGATTTTACCCTAAACATTAATATATATACACAAACGAAAAAAACAAAAAAAAAATATATATAGCAAGTGACTAAAAAGTACTGTGAAGTTTATAGTCATTTAAACACCGTTCATCTGCTATACCATTCGCCCTTTGGTGCTACGAAACACGTGTACGAAATTTCATTAAGATAAGTATCCTAGTTTTTACTCAAATTATCGCTGGCACAGGTTTTCGTTTAATTGCGTTTTGTGGGCGTGGCGACTCCACCCATCTGCAATACCAAGATCTTGAGTGCCAAGGAATATGTGTACCAAGTTTCACTATAATATCTCAATTTGTACTCAAGTTATCGCTTGCACAGACAGATGGACGGACGAATCGACTGATAGCAACTCGGAATTCCACTCGTCTCGTCATCCTGATTCTTTATATATATATCTAACTCCATATCTATCTCTACTAGTTTTATGTGAACAAAAGTATTAAAATATGTTATACTCTCTAGCAACATGTTGCAAGAGTATCAAAATGTTGCGAAAGAATTCAACATAAATTTTTCGAAGAAACCGAAAGAATTTCAATCAAATTTGGTAGACGAAAAAAGTTTCTTTCGTATCCGAAATGTGTATATTAAAATCAACATAATTAACTCAAATGGGATAATGTGATATAAACTCAATCAAAGAAGAGGGGCTTATTAGAAAACAGTCAATCAAATAATCGGAAGTCCTTATATTAGGGATATGAGGGTTATGTCCAAATCTAGAGCGATTCGATTCAAATTCAACACTAAACAACATTATTTTAAAGAACTTAATTTCATTAAAATATCACACACACATTTTCGGAACTAAGCTGCTACATTAATATACATATATTTACGTATTATTTCCATAAAAAGATGCTCTCTGACTTTCTTTAGGGTACCTCAGAGATTGACCGATATTTTCGGTAAAAATTCAACTATAGGCATTGAGGTCCACATATTAAGTGTCTTGGTACTTAAAAAGTTATAGTCCGATTTCGATTTCGATAACGTCATTGGCTCTGTTTTTATAAACTGAAATGTTAAATATGCAATTTAAAATGGTGATAGAATATGTGAGAAGTTCAATTTCTCCCATTTTCTCTATGTAGCATGAAAAAGTCAAAATAATGTTGTGCACATATTTTAGTGGGAATCGGGCAAGTAATTCTTAAGATATAAGCTTTTACCTAAAGGTGGACGGTGTCACGTCCATTGTCATATTTGCACACCGGTTCCTATAAAACCCTTTTGTACTACCTCGGGTGTAAAATTTAATGATTCTGATGCATTTACTCATTGAGTTACCGTACATACATAACTCTGTATCTATCTCGATAAAGTTTAGGTGTTACAAACAACCGGTGACCAAAACTAGTATACTCTGTATCAATTGGATAATTGATAATAATAATATCGAAGCAGATAAGGTGGTGGTCAATGATGATCTTATATATTATACTTCTCGGCAAAAATATACTGTGTGATTCGAATACGTGTCTAATCGAAACGGTGAATTTTTCGTTAACCAATTAAATAAGTTTTCATACAAAATTTTGGCCTTGACCGGTTAGTATATATCGGGGGCTCTGACAAATGAGCAGCTTCTTGGTGGGAGAAGGACGTGTGCAAAATTTCAGATCGGTATCTCGAAAACTGAGGGAGTAGTTTGCTTATATACAGAGAGACATACGTATATGGCTAAATCGACTCACCCAATTCAGGGTATATTGATGGTAGATAGGTAGACCTTATGTGATTGATTTCCGAACATCCGGTACGGTTTATATCAGCATATATAAAATAAGAGAACGTTTATCTTAACTGTAATTTACATATAGTGATTTTCGATATTCAAATATATGTTGTTGAGAATGGCGGATAAAAAAGTAAATGACATTTTTCCAGACTTTTCTTTAGATCCAATATATTTTAATGAACTGTCGAAACACGAATGCAACGTAAACTTTTGATATGTTTACTGTTTAAATGAGCTAAGCCTCACTACCACCACACCCTCTGGTAACGACTGGCGCACCCTAATGCAACACACCACACTTGAGAACGTTCACAGGTACATTCGCTTATCGTCTACGGGCCTGAGCGCCAAATCAACATTCGCTTATACACTTTCGACAAAATAGCGATCCTGCGCGCAACTCATTTTTTTGACTCGACACCACTCCGCAAGCTTCTTATATTTTCGTTTTTGTCTACGGGCCTAAGCGCCAGATTAACTTTTTGGCAACAACGATCCTGCGCGCTACTCTTGCCTATTATAAACCCGTCGATCGACATCGGCCCTAAATATTACCTTCTAGATATGTATTAAAAGCAATAATAATAACTGGCTTTTATATGTAATAAAATATTATATATAAAACCGAGAAAAATCGTTTCATTTTAAAGACAGTCGCATTTATTCATAAATTTTAACTTAAAATAAAAAATCTTCATAAAAAGTTGAATCAAAGCATCCACGACAAACCACACGCGGGATTTAAGCAATAGCCTTCAAATATTGAAATATAATATTGGTCTTAAGAACATACCAACACAAGGAATGAACAGATTGCATAGGAACTAAAGCCTTTGTACTTGCAAAAAAGTTATTATAATTTTTAGTTATTTATTTTTTAGTTTTGCTGGCCTTGACTATACTTACTTATATTATATTATTATACTTAGACATCAAAAAAAAAACTGCAGAAAGAATTGTTATCATATATTTTCATTCTTTTTTTCAGATAAAGGATTTACTGATATCTGTTGTAGGAAGCAAAAACTTGAAATTATCAGATTTCGGTCTCTCCCGAAAAATTAATAGCCACGATTTAAATCCTCTAGATTTCGGGATGCCGGAATACGTTTCACCTGAAGTTGTTAATAAAGAGGGTGTTGGATTTGCTCACGATATGTGGGCTGTAGGAATTATAACCTACGTACTGCTAAGTGGGCGGAACCCTTTCCGTGGTAGTGATGACTACGAAACACTGTCAAAAATTCGTGAGGGGCGTTGGGAATTCAGCGATTCAATTTGGTCTCATATATCCGATAATGGACGAGATTTTATTTCCCGCCTTTTGTCGTATAGAGCAGATGATCGGATGGATGTAAAAACAGCGTTAAAACATCCATGGTTTTTTATGTTAGACTCATTACCGACTGGAGAAGAATATCAAATCACTACAGACAATCTACGAAGCTATCAAGACCAATTTGATGACTGGAGTGAAAATTCAGCTTGCAAACAATATTTCCGACGTAGACGACTCAGTGGTTGTTATACTCATCCCTCTAGAATGGTTTATCCACCAGGTCATTCATATACCCCTGAACCTACTCCAGAACCATTACCAGAACCAAAAAAATATTCCACAAAAAGGGAAAACACAATGTCAAAATATTTGCATCCAGATTATGAGTTGGGCTTAATTCAGTCCGAAAGTCAGTAAGTACTAAAACTTTTGTTGCAAACAATTAAGGAAAGGCTATAATCAAACATTATTTTCTCCCGAAATTTGTTAGAATTTATTGCGCGTACTTTACTATAAAAACTATGTGCATGAAATTCGTTAGTAGAAATATTTGTCAATTGACTAATTGGTCAATTGTCTAATTTTTAATTTTTGTTTTATAGTCGAAATATCTCCTTTAAAATCAAGCTTGATACTAGAAGCTTAATATTAATCATTTTACTAGGAAAGTTATAGGTACTGAATGACATTGTACTACTTGTAAACGCATATTTTCTCTTAATTTTTATACTCTCGCAACCTGTTGCTACAGAGTATAATAGTTTTGTTCACCTAACGGTTGTTTGTATCACCTAAAACTAATCGAGCTAGATATAGGGTTACGTATATATAAATGATCAGGATGAAGAGACGAGTTGAAATCCGGGTAACTGTCTGTCCGTCCGTCCGTCCGTGCAAGCTCTAACATGAGTAAAAATTGAGATATCTTTATGAAACTTGGTAGACATGTTTCTTGGTACCGTGAGACGGTTGGTATTGCAGATGGGCGTAATCGGATCACGCCCACAAAACGCCATTAATCAAAAACAAATAACTTGCCATAACTAAGCTCCGCAATAAGATACTAGACTGTTATTTGGTACACAGGCCTCTAATAGGTTTAATGTGCATATCTCCTAAACCGCTAATGCTATAGTAACAAAATTCACTAGAAGCAAATGTTTTTAGCACTTCCATTGAGGGTGTGAAAATAGTTGAAATCGGGTGGCAACTCCGCCCACTCCCCATATAACGGTACTGTTAAAAACTACTAAAAGCGCGATAAATCAAGCACTAAACACGCCAGAGACATTAAATTTTATCTCTAAAATGGTATAAATTGGCTTTATAGGAACCGCGTTCAAAATTAGTCAGTGGGCGTGGCAACGCCCACTTTTAGGTGAAAACCCATATCTTGGGATCTGCTTAACTGATTTCAACCAAATTCGGTACATAACGTTTTTTCATATTTTATGTTATAGTGCGAAAATGGGCGAAATCGGACTACAACCACGCTTACTTCCTATGTAACACCATTTTCAATTCCATCTGATTCTTTCACTTTCCACTATGCAAATCAGGTAACAATGATTATATCGGGGTAAAACTTTGCGTGAATAATGCAATTAAAGTACGCAACCTTGCGGCTAAAAATTGTCTAAATCGAACCAAAACTGTTCAAACCCCTAAGTACTAAATATGTGGACCCCAGTGCCTATAGTTGACCTTCTACCGAAAATATCAGTCAATCCACAAAGAAATCTCAAACGAGTATACTATTTGACTTTGCGAGAGTATAAAATGTTCGGTTACATCCGAACTTAGCCCTTCCTTACTTGTTTTGATATATAATTCTCTACTTAATTGATAAGTACGTTAAAAAAAAAAGATAAATGGAAATGATAATGGATATAGGGGGAAAGAATAAAGTCTGAATCGATATTACTTGTTTTTAAAAACAAATCATACTTTAACTACTCTAACTCAAGATAACTAGATATATAGGTATAAAGTCAACGAAAAAGTCGAAAATTACTATATTATGAGTACTGGTGTTAAGGAAAGGTCAAAATCGATTTCACATATTAATTGCTTTGTATATTGGACTGATTTCGCTTACTTTTGACTTTAAACAAAGTCATATTTGCAAATGTATTTATTTAGACAACTCACACATTAAATTGGATAACGAAATTCATTCTGAGTATTATATGACGGCTGGGATAATTCGTGGACGAATTCTCATTTCGGCAGCAAACATTTTCGCCTTCTATGAAAATATAATCACTTAATATTGTTATTGTCCTACAAGTCAAATAGAAAATCTAAAATCATTTCATTAGGTATTTGGCGGCTGAACGGGTTCTATATATTTTTTAGACCAGGCCTCCCAATTATCTAAAGAAGTTCATAAGCACTGGGGTCTATATGTTCGGTATGTAGGGATTGAATAATTATGATGGCATATTTGTGCAAAGTTTTATTCGAATATATTCAATGTAGCTTAATTTCTGTACTGGAAAGTAAAAGAAGCATATGGAATTGAAAATTGTGCTATATGGGAAGTAGGCGTGACTGTAGTATAAATGCGCCCATTTTCACACAGGACATGGGACCGTCAGAATAGAGTTATGTACCGAATATGGTTGAAATTGGTAGAGTAAGTCCGGGGAAATGTGATTTCACCAAAATGTGCGCGGTACATTTTTTGGCCCCGACCCCTATAAAGCCCTCTTGTATCATCCTAGGCGTAAAAATTGAATGTCTCTGGCGCATTTAGTTATTGCTTTAACGCGCCTTAAGTAGTTTTAACCAAAACAGTTATATGGGGAGAGGGCGGGGATATTTCATTCATATTCACACTGTCTGTAGGAGTTTTAAAAGGATTTATCTTAAGCGCATTTGGTTTTGTAGCTTTAGTGGTTTGGCAGATATGAACATTTTACCTATTACCACTACACCCACTTTAAAAAAATTTCAACCATAAATGTTCCTCCTAATGCAAATCAATTATATATACATATGTACATACGTACATACAAATAAACGTTAAGTGCACAAATCTATTATACTCTGTAGCAGCATAATAAAAGAGTATAAAAATTGGTGATAAAGTAAGAATATATATATTCACATAAAAACAAATCAAGAATAAGGCTGCTTTTGTAAACGCAATATGCATAGCATACATGTAATGCAAAATATTGGTAAACGCCATTGCATTAATTTTTGAAAAGTATAAAATTCATAAATGACTGATAACCGACGTGCTGTCAAAATTTGCATGAGTTTTGCTTTGCATGCATTGCATTCAAAATGGAAGGTTTGCAGATGAAGTAAATATATTTCAAATTTTAATTGTCATTTCTATATATGTATTTCTTTTTCATTTCATTTTTATTGTATTTATTAGTATTTATTTATATTATTGTAAAAACATTGAACTAAGCATTCATAATCGTCAAATATATGCATTGCATATTTTGGCAAAGCAAGGTTGTAATGCATAAATGCTTTGCATGGCATGGGCATATGTTTTAAAAATGCTTTGCATATTGAGATTACGAAAATATAACAAGTAAGGAAGGGCTAAGCTCAGATGTAACTGAGCATTTTATACTCTCGTGTGGTAAAGTGATATATTGAATTATTGTATATACAGGGTGGCTCATGAATTGTGCTACAAAAACAAACCATAATAACTTTTTTTTTAATCAATGCATTACATTTACTTTTTTCATTGTAAAGCAAACCATATTTTATTTTATATAATTCATAATTTTTAAAAATTATGGACCTAAAATGACCGCCATGCTCAGCCACGCATATGCAACACTTAATTAGATTAATTGTGGGTTGAAGTTTGGATTGCCTCAATTATCGATGTAATGGACAGCTTCAATTCAGTCAGATTTCTGGGATTTCTTTTGTACACCTCTTGCTTGACATAACTCCATAAAAAAAGTCTAGTGCAGTCAGGTCAGGTGACCTTAAGGACCAGCGGAAAGTGGAGTTTTTTGATTTAATTTGTTTTCAAATTTACGTTGGAGCTCCGAAATATCCGGTTTGGCTATGTGTGCAGTAGCTTCGTCTTGCTGGAACAAAACGCTATTGAAAGGAACCCGTCTTCGGTGCAGTTCTGGGTAAAAAAACTCATTCAACATCTTAAATGACGGTGCCCATTGACAGTTAATATTATACCGTATTCTTCAAAGAAGTAGGGCCCGACAATACACCTTGATGAAACTGCGTGGATTATTTATGGATTTGATTCACTCCATATACGGCAATTTTGCTTTTTTACATTTCCGTTTAGATCAAAATGGGCCTGATCAGACATAAACAGGAAATTTATCAAGTTATTGTCTTTTTCGGCCATTTCAATAATTTTTTGGCAAAATTCCAGGCACGTAGGCAATGTAAGAGGGCTTGTTATTTGAACTATGTACGGAAACAAGTTTCAGTCATCATGAATTATAAATTGCGAGTGAAACTCTTGGATTTGCCTGAATCGACGATGCAACAGCCGTGATTGTTTCTTAAACACGAACATGCGGATCTCGATGGTACGGTCTTCCTGCGATACTTCCAGATTCAGCAAACATGTTTACCAACCTCATAGTAGTCCATCTATTCGGGAAGTGTCGCCAAAGTCCCGTCTGAATTCTCTTTGGGCGGAAACGACGGACTGCAAAGCATGGTACCGTTACACTATCCTTTTCGGTACCCGATGTATTAATTTTTAAAATATTTAAGAAATAGCTTGCCAAATAAACCAAAAAAGAATGTAAGTCGATTACGCACACAATAAAAAATAGTTAATACGGTTTGTTTTTGTAGCACGCTTCGTGAGTCACCCTGCATTTTCATTAAAAGTAAGAAGTACTGCATTCATTATTTTCAATAACAGGCAAGGAGATACACTGTTACTAGAAAAGGATTATTTCTAAATTTCATTAAGATCTCTTACATATTGATCGATATATCCAGTTTAAAGTTACCGGGAGTTGGAAAATATTTATATTAGGTATATGGTGGCTGAGGGAATTATTGACCCGATTTACCAATTATTCCCCGAATTTTAATACTAGAATTGGATTGAAAATTAATAAGTCTACGCTCCTATGCAAAATAAATGCTTACTGCTTTAAATCATGGGAATTGTTATATAAACAATAGCAACTTTTTATATATATTGTAACGCATTTCTTGATAAATCATCTACTTTGTAACTCACTCATTTAATCTCTGGATTGTTAAATAAAAGTATAAACTTAATGGCTATAACTTATTTCTTTTTATAGTTTCAACAACTTAACGCTTTACTACTAGTTATTTGAAGTCACAACTTCTTACTTATATCTTAATTGCTCTTTACACAGCAATACTCCAACAAGAACTGTGTTTGCTACACAATTCAGCAACCTTTATATAGTAGATCTTTAACAAAAGTTGACACCAGAACATTCTGGAAATCTTATTTAATTTTGTAGATTTTTAAACTTTTTCGGTTTTGGTAGCAATGGAGGAAAAACTAAAAAAATTAAAAACGGTGAAAGGCAAACTATTATTAAATGGCACAATAAAGGTCCAAAATAATCGACAAATAGTAAAACCCGTCGGTAAAAATTTAACAATCGGACAGTTATCCAAAACTTTGCAAAAGGCGGAATAATCACTTCAAAGCCAAAGTCTGGACGTTCTCCTAAGCTGACACAACGAGTGTTGTGTTCCTTCAAAGGTAAACGTCGGGATAACTGCGACTCAGGTGACCTTTGATGCATAGCAAAAGTTCCAAAAGGCCAAAAGCATTTCAATCGCCAAAATAATTTTAAAAAAAGGAGGGTATCAAGAAAGTATTGCTGGTCGAAAACCACATAACTTCTTGGGTAACCGACATAAACGTATCGCTGTAGCAAATTAATATCAAAATATGCAACCAGAGTTTCGGAAGAAAGTTTTATTCTCTGGCGGGAGCAAGTTTTGTATCTTTGGTATCAAAAGACAGATAACCGTGTTGAGAAGATCGGTTACAATGCTCAATAAGGAAAATTTGCCATGTTCTATCAACTATCTTGAAGTAGATATGATGATGTGGTAAGTATGACAGCTGGTGGAGTGGAAAATTTGAATGTATTGTATCTTCTATTGGCAAATATTCAAATTTGAATACTATAAAGAACAATTTAAAACAAAGTGTAGAAAAGTCTAAGTAACGGAATTTGATTTTAACAAGACAACGACCTCAAGCATGCAGCGGAAATTTTCGGGCTGTGGCTTCTTCATGAACCTGTTCTTTTACAAGGTTTTTGGTGATTGTCCGACCTGATATTCAATTTCTACCGACGGGTTTTACTATTTACCGGTTATTTTAAACCTTTATTGTGTCATTTAATAATAATTTGCCTTTCACCCTTTTTAAATTTGTTCGCATGGCCTCCATTGCTACCAAAACCGAAAAAGTTAAAAAATCTACAAAATTAAATAAGATTGTTTTTACTATAAAAACGAGTTTTTATTTAAATTCCTGGGGTGTACGATACAATAACTGGAACGAGATGAGCGTACACTTTTGACGCATGTATTTCTTTGGTGAGACAACAAAAGCCCCGTTATCTATGGTGTCGCCTGTCTGTGTGCCATGATTAGTAGTATATTAGCTTATTGAGAATAATAGTATATACATATAAAAAATTTTAGTTATTAAAATAAGAATTCCTATGCTTCAAAGTTGTAAACATTTGTTTTGCGGAAGAGCGTAGACTTATGGCGGCTGGTTTAAGTAGCAAGTTTTATCAAGATATATTAATTTTTCCTACAGTTGTCACTTACAAAAATAGACGGACGGACAGACAGTCGGTTTTCGACTCGTCTCGTCAACATGATATAACTGTTTAGTAAACAAAACAATTATACTCTGCAGCAACATGTTGTGAGAGTATAAAAGTAATTGGGCCATGAAATATTAGTAATGTTTATCCTTCTATTCCAACTGCATATTTAATAGGAGATGTGAACTTCCAATTTTAGGGAAATTTCATGCAAAAGAATTTTAATTTACAAAATTTCATTAAATAATGTTACCGAAGCAATTGGTTTACAAAGTAAATTTGTTAAAAATTTTAAAAATATATTTTCAAATCATTTTCAGATACTGGAATTAGGTGACTTGATTTAGTTAGATTTTACTTGATTTAGTTTCCACTTGCTTCCCAATCTTAGTTTAATCAGATACTAGCCTAACCACAGTGTTTTAAATAATATATGTATAAATACCTTTTTTTCATTCAGTACACATATGAATACGAAATATAAATGTAAGATATAACGAGTGTATTATTCTTAATTGCAGCTACCAATATGGACCAGATACCTATCTTCTTCAACTTAGAGATGTTAGTTTTCCAGTAAGGTTACGCGAATATATGAAAGTTGCTCACAGAAGATCGCCTTCATTTGCACTCAACGATAGCGTTGATTGGTCTGTAAGTATTATACCTCGTATACATTTTCGTAATACAGTATCCCCCATCTAATTTATTTTCCCGTTTATTTGAATCACTTGAATACAAAATACGTGTAAATTTTCCCCCCCTAATTGAATCTGGTTAATTGATTTTCCCTCATAATTGGTTAAAAATATGTGTTATTGAAAAAAATATACCTCTAATTTTCCCCGGCACAAAAACTTTTTGCTTAAAAATACAATCTGACGTTGCCGCAGTATATGTATGAACATACATACAAATTTACAATGATTTGTTGGCAAAGCTGTTAGAGCTTTATTTTTTCGGCCCATGTCGGATTTTCTGCCACCAAATTCATTTCTGAGAGTGACAGATCAATACGATACTGCACTCGATTTTGATCTTCACCGGTTCAAGACAAATCTGAATCCTTATTGGAAATAAAAAACAAAATCTTGACAATTTTTGGACTCATAACAGCTCATGACCCCAAAATAGATTCAGGTCTACCACACAATTTTAAATCATCGGCTTACGCAATATACGAAAACTGCTTAGACCAGTACGAAGAAAGAACAGCTTTGATTTCTGATCAATTAAAGCTAAAAAATGCAATTGCACCTACTCCACATCAGCGAGTAGAGAGGTAAGCTCAGGCATCTATCTCGCCCGCATGTGACACAGAAATATTTCATGGTGGGTATGAAAAATAGCCGTTATTCCGGGACATGAATTAATGAAATGCACAAAAATTGTATCATCTCCGATACAAAACAAAAGGTCAAGCAGTCGTAATAGACAAACAGTTCGCATTAAATTACGATAATTTCAATTTGGCTTAGGAAGCTCTTAAATCAACATTCGAAAACGAAAGAATATTGGTCGATAAACGCTTTACCGGAAAAATCATTACTTCTATGGGATCAATCGCTCTCATCACGAAGAAAATGCCCCTCGTGGCAACAAATAAAATACTTTCTGATTACCCAATACGAAATCGGAGAAAGGGTCCAACAAGACTTAAATCGAAACTTCAATAGACCCCTAGCCAGTAGCAACAATAATTTAAACTTTTTTAAAAATCAAACGTTCACATCCGAACAGTACAAACAAACATCATGCAAACTATGTACAGGTGGGCATAGGCTCAAATTTTACGAGAAATTCAGTTAATGAATATTACCGATTGGAACAATTTTGTTAGAACAAAAAGATTTTGTACAAACTGTTTGTCACATGCGCATATATTGTATATAAAAATTGTAACAGCAAATTCAATTGCTTATATTGTCATAAAAGACACCACTTAATGCTTCATTACAGCAAATTTCCCTTTTCACCCCAAAGAAGCGCTTATACAATAAGTACCACAGGTTTAGTTGTAACAAATACTCCCAGAAACCAAAATATCGAAAATTGTCGAAAACACCATGTTGCTAAAAGGCACAAAAAACTCAAACGCTACACAACAAAATACAAAACAGGGTATTACTCCCCACAGCAGTCATCTCCATAGAACACCTAAGAGAACTCTTCAAACTTAGGGCCTTAATAGACCAAGGATTACCACGATCTTTCATACGCGTGTAAGAGTTAAAACTGCCAACAAAACATTTTGAAATTACTGGAATGGGCGGAAGAGTAGTGCAAAACTCAAAAAAAATCTGCCCCATCTCCCTAATTTCCCCCAAGCGGATAAGCGAATTGTAGCAGAAGATATAGTCCTACCGCAGCTTACTAACATGCTTCCAAGCACTCACATGTATTTCACACCTAATGCTGGCAGAACCTTACTGCAACCGCCCAACTCAAGTACGTATTATACAAGTAATAGGCAGCGAATTATACCGCAAATAATACTTTTAGGTGTTGAAAAACATTTTTCCACCCTTCTAGCACAAAACATTCAAAACATTGGATTCTAAGTGGACTAGTTACAGAACCAGTTTCCACATTAATAATAAATAATATCGGTTCGTCATACGACTACCACTAAATTCACAATGTTCCAAGACTCCACGAATTGGCAGAAAAAACAAAGTCAGACTTCCTTCTGACAAGACTAGTTTTAGAAACACAAATAAGTAACTTTTCGACCCCGCAGGTTAGCTCGCGCTCATAATGATACAAAAATCTGGCTTCAAAACTCGTGAGCTGTGTGGCGCGCTACTACTTGCCAAATTAGTGCATACGCACTTAACATAAAATATAACAAAATTGTCCGAAGTATGTCGAAAAATCGACAAATCTCTTACTATAGTGCCTCATAGTTGCCAAAATTTTCATAATTATAAAACAATTCAAAAATAAAGTTAAGGGATCACCATACTCCCAATTTGATACAGTGACGCACCTAGACTTACAAAAGCCAAAGGTTGCACTTTTTACATCTATCTAAGCGCTCCTCATATTATGATAACTCACATATTGGACATATATGAGGACTAAGGGAATTATTCACAATAAGAACTGGGGCCCACATTTTAGGTATCTATGGGCTTGAACAGTTTTGGTTCGATTTAAAAATCTTTTGGTCATAAGGAGGTACCCTTCAAAGGTACTATTCATGCAAAATGTTATCCCGTTATATTAATTGGTGCTTTATTTGTATACTGGAATGTTAAAGAATCAGATGGAATTCAAACTTGTGTTATATGGAAAGTAGGGGTGAATTTAGTCGGATATTCCCCATTTTCGTTGGGGATGCTATGCTCATCGTTCAATTTTAACAACGACTACTATAAATCCTTCGTGCCATCCTGAATGTAAAATTTAATGTATTTTATTGATTTATTACCCACTATGGTAAAAAGTAGTTTTTAACCGTTTTAAACTGTTATATAAGGAATGGGTGGGGTTATCATCCGATTTCATCTATTTTCACAGAGTAGGTAGGGATATATATAAATATTTGCCCTGAGCGAATTTGTTTTTATAGCTTCAATAGTTTAGGAGATATGTACATTGAACTTATTATAGGGCGGGACTATGCCCACTTTCTAAAATTTTTTTAATAGATTTTTTTTGTAGATTTTAGTTATAGTACTTTGTAGGTTTTGTGAGCGTGGCAGTCGATCGTTCGAGATGGCAATCACGACAGCAATTTATTGCTAATTTGTCAAAGTATCACGTTCTGCGTGAATTTCTGGCAACACTTGCAACAGCATTACGTTCTACTGTCACTTTTTGCTCGCAATTTATGCAAATATCCAGAAACACTCAAGTTTTGTTTGCACGCCAGCAGAGTATCAGCAAATATGCAACACAGTTGCTGTTCTGCTGTAATTATTACGTAGCTCGAACGCACCCATATTATAGAAATTTAGAGATAATCCTTTCTCCTGATATATTTGATATCCGATAATAGGATGCCTGTATATCGAAAATTAATTGAATCGAATCGATAAATCCCTTAGTGCCCACATACCTAATAGACACATTTCGTAACTCTGCTGCGAGTATTTGAATAAATGAAAACTGTTTGAAATCCAAGCAGCATTTGGTTTTGTACAATTTTATTATTGAATGTTTCACTTTTTTCAATACAAATTAGAAAATTAATGAACTCTCACTATTCGAACAGTCGACTACGAATGGTTAACCGGATAGTCGAAACTAAGCGATTAATGGAACGACGACTTCCGACTATCCGTATAGTGCAAACCGAATATTATTACGCGAATAAAGCCCTATCCGGTTAGTCGAATACCAAGATATCTAGTATAAAGACAAACAGAAGTTTGAAATACTTATATTAGGTATATAAGGTCTAGCGGGGTATTGATCTGGTTTTATCCAATTTTGGTATTACGACATATCACTAACAGGTAAAGATTTTCTCTGAATTTAATTGAGTTAACTCACATATTGGCCTATAATATAAGGTATAAAGTCATCCGCATGTTTAGAATTCTTTATATTAGATATATGGGAGCTAGGGGAAGTGTTCACCCGTTTTTATTCATTTTAAACACAATCTTATTATTAGAAAGAGTTTCAATTTTTATGTCCGTACGTCCGTTAGTCCGTGCAAGCGATAACTTGAGTAAAAATTTGTTTTCTTGATGGTACCTGTCTTCCTCGGCTTCGAAGAGAGGTTGGTATTGCATATGGCCGGTATCAGACTATTACCACACCCACAAAATGTACTTAATCTAAAACTCAAAAAACCATAACAAAGCAGCAAATAAAGATACAAAACTGTTATGTGGTCCAGGGCATCGAAGTATGAATGACAAGTATTTCTAGGTCCTCCTCCTACACTGTGAAAATGAGCGAAATCAGATTGTAAAAGTTATCTTGAAAACTAATATAAATGCGATACCTTACTAAAAAAATTCCTTAGAAGCATGAAGTTTCACACCCGAGTTGATACGAAAAACTTGCATAAGAGTCATTGTAAAATTTGAAATCAGGGCGTGGCACTTTAAAATAAAATGTGATATCTCAGAAACTACACTACAAAATTTGGTGCATAATAATTCAGACAGAATCTTTTCCTGAGGATAGTGTTTCTCCTGTATTCGGGTATATTCTTCGACTTTCCAGTTGACTTAAAACAACTTAAGACTTAGTTCAATGTCACACAATATCATAAATATTATAATAAAATTACGTGCTTGCTTAACCACTAGATGAATATGTATGAATGAAATTTGTCTAAATCCAAATCCCTAATACAAAGGTATCCGGGTCTCCAGTTACATTTTCCTCATATACCAAATATTTTAAATTTTTTTATTTATATTTTAAAATTTGTTAACAAAATCCCAAGTGCCATCCTTCGGTTGGATTTTTTTCATTGAAGCTTCGACATTTAAAGCTGATAACTGTTATTAATTGAACTTTATTACTTTACCTTTTATTACCAGGAAATTTCTTTTAAGTCTGTTAGTTGAGTTCCTCAATCACAATCTGTAATTTTATTGACGGTGCTCCGAATTCTGATATTGTCAACATTAATTTCTATGATTACTTAAAGTTTCCTTTGAAAATATGTCCGTATAACTTACACATTTGTAAATGCATAATTTGGTTAATTTAAATCATACTAACCCACTAATTCTTATTATTTCTCAACAGTTGCCAGTAATTCGAGAACGTCGCCGATTTACTGATATAATGGATGAAGAAATTGATGATGAACGAATTCGAAGCAGAATAAATATGTATAGCTCGAACGATTCGTTCACTATTCGTAGGCTTCGAACAGAATTGGGTCCCAGACTTGATGAATATACGGAAGCTGAGGCACTAATTGAAAGCCAAAGAGAAGGATGTCTTCCTTTCTTTAGAGAAAAGCCCCAAACTCTTGCAATTGTCGAATATCAACCAGCACACATACATTGTTTTGCAGTTGGAGACCCAAAACCGTGTATACAATGGTTTAAAAATGATATGGTACTAATTGAGTCAAATAGGATTAAAATATTAACTGATGAAGATGGAAGATCTATTCTACGTTTTGATCCGGCTCTCCATACAGATATAGGCATATATAAAGCCGTCGCCAGAAATTCGCTTGGTCAAACTGTGTCAAGATGTCGGTTAGTTGTTGCTACATTGCCGGATGCTCCTGATTCTCCAGAAGTATCTGCAGTTAGTGGCAAAGAAATTCTTCTTAGATGGAAACAGCCCCGAAATGATGGTCACTCAACAGTTTTATGCTATAGTTTACAAAAGAAAGAATTTAGCTCGGATATATGGACAACGATTGCCGACAATATAGATCATGAGTTTTATTTTGTGAATAATCTGCAGCCTAACACCAAATACCAATTTAGATTGGCATCTAGAAATCGAATTGGTTGGAGTGAAATGAACATCCCATTGACAGCTGAAACAGCAGCCATGGATTCACCAAAAATACAGATATCAAAGGCAATGGAACATTTACAAAAACTAACAGAAAGCGGTCAAGAAATCGTGGCAGAAGAAGAACGAGTACATACTGACTATCATTGTGAATGTGAACCTCCAAATTGGATAACTGACAGCAGTGTTAATGAAAAATATAGTTTTATATCAGAAATACATAGAGGAGAATTCAGTACCATTGTAAAAGGAATTCAAAAATCAACCAACGCAATGATCGTTGCTAAAATTTTTGATTTAAATGAGGAAACTGAACCTCTTATATTAGAAGAATTTGAAAATTTTAGAACGTTAAGGCATGAACGTATTGCAGCACTATTTGCAGCATATAAACCAGTTAACGTACCTTTAGTTATTTTTATAATGGAAAAACTACAGGGGGCTGACGTATTGACATACTTTAGTAGTCGCCATCAATACACTGAGCAAATGGTAGCAACGGTTATAACACAACTATTAGACGCAGTTCAATACTTGCATTGGAGAAGTTATTGTCATTTAAATATTCAACCTGACAATATTGTAATGGCATCGGTGCGATCGGTACAAATCAAATTGATTGACTTTGGTTCCTCTAAGAGAGTTAGTAAATTAGGAGCAAAAGTTGCAGCGAGGTGCATGCTAGACTTCCAATCTCCTGAAATGGTGAACGAAGAACCCATATTCCCGCAAAGTGACATTTGGTCTGTGGGTGTGCTTACATATCTTTTGCTTTCTGGAAAAAGTCCTTTCCGCGGAACTGATGACTATGATACAAAGCAAAATATATCGTTTGCCCGCTATAGATTTGAGAACCTCTATAAAGAAGTTACTCCTGAAGCAACTCGATTTATTATGTTCTTGTTTAAGCGACATCCTACGTAAGTACTTTCCAATTTTATGATAATTATTTTTTGTGATTAAATATACTATACGAATTGATTTATTTACTTAAGTACCCAGATAAAGATAATGTAAATTAATTAACCTACGTTTTAGAGTTTTCAATCGCTTGCTTCAAAATACTTCATTCACCATTCCTATCTATTTATCGATAAGAAAAAACGCACTTTCAAATCAGTTGAAGTAGGTAGGGACAACTTTACGTGTAATAGAAAAAGATTCTACGAAACTAGCGCTTACGTAATCAGAATAAAATTAAAACTTTATTTATTGAGAAACACATCAATATAAAAAAATACATATTTCAGCTTTAAATACACCATACCTATAAATGATATGTTAAATAATGAATAACTGAAAAGTTGGAAATGCCTGTATTAGGTATATGGGGGCAGGGGAAGTATATACCCGATTGGATTCATTTTTGCAAATATTGCCATAATATGACGCTTTTGAGTTTTATTAAGATAACTCATATATTAATCGATTACCGCTAAAAAAATCAACTACAGGCACTGAGGTCCGCATATTTGATATCTGTAGACTTGAAAAGTTAAAGTCCGCTTTCATACCTTAAATGCATTATTTCTGCACGGTTTTATTCCAATAACTTAATTGGTGCTTAAATTAAAGAAAATAAAGAAAAGAATCAAATGGAATACATGGGGTGTAGGTGGGATTGTTGCCTGATTTTCCCTAGTTTCGCAGTGTAACATAAAAATGTTGAAAGAATGTTATGTTATTAAGAAATCGGTTGCACAAAGAGATGGACGAATAGTCACACGAAATTCATCTCTTCTTGTGATTCTGGTCATTTATGTAGATATATATGTACATATAACTGTATATCTATCTCGATTAGTTTTAGGTCTTACAAACAACCGTTAGGTGCTCTCAATTATTATACTCTGTAGCAACATGTTCCGAGAATGAATATATGAAGCGCTAGAACGGAGAAGGGCAGCCGAGAACCGACTCGTTCCCAGTCTGATGAAATTGGGACTGCAGATCACAAAACAGTTCTTCGAATCCATATTTAAATTTTGCGTTTTCTTTTCTTTCATTTTTATTTGTGATCTTGCAGGACTTTTTAGCAAGAATGGCATGATACGAAACTGATTCGAGAGAGAGCTGTCTAAACCCACATATTTTTTAGCATTTGCCAATCACCACTGCCACTGTCGAATGAAAATGAATTAGGTATTTTGAAACAAACTTTTGGGCATTTTGCGTTTCGATATTATTTTTAGGTTCTCGGTTCCCGAGCAGACCTATATCGCGCATATACAACCCTAAATATGTGTATTCATATTATAAAATTTTTAAAAATCATAAAGTATAATAGTATAATATATAAATACAAAAAATTATAACAAAGAAACAATACAACTCATAATAAAATATCATGAAAATATTTCGCATTTCTAACAAAGAATAGCAAAATAACTTTAGTTGCACGTTACTCAAAAGTATATGTGTCGTTCCTTGAAATTTTGTTTCGCACTGCTTTTGTCAGCTACTCTTAGCGGGTTTATTTCTGGCATCCCGCCATTTTTGATATTATTGTCATCCTTGTTTCTAGTTCCTAAATGTCAAATATATTCGATCCAATTAACTGCCAAAGTCGGTTAAATGGCTTACGCCACAGTAGTAAGCCATTTTGTGGTAGCTTTCTGGGGGAAATAGCGGCTACCTTGGATTTTCTGTGGTAACAACGCAGTACTGTATATATTGAGGTAGTAAATACTAGGCAAATTTTTTTTATTAATAAAATTTAATTATTATTTTATTTATCAACAAAATATGAAAAAACGTTATGTACCGAATTTGGTTGAAATCAGTTAAGCAGATCCCAAGATATGGGTTTTCACCTAAAAGTGGGCGTGGCATTAATTAATAATAATAAATAATAAATCTATTAATAAAATACACCATAAAAAAAAGTTTTCCCATTATATTAAGCAACAACATTAATAGTTTCTGTTTTTATACTCTCGCAACCTGTTGCTACAGAGTATAATAGTTTTGTTCACCTAACGGTTGTTTATATCACCTAAACCGAATCGAGTTAGACATAGGGTTATATATATATAAATGATCAGAATGAAGAGGCGAGTTGAAATCCGGGTGACTGTCCGTCCGTCCGTCCGTCCGTCCGTCTGTCCGTGCAAGCTCTAACTTGAGTAAAAATTGAGATATCTTTTAGAAACTTGGTAGACATGTTTCTTGGTACCGTAAGACGGTTGGTATTGCAGGGGCGGACCACTGCCACGCTGACAAAACGCCATTAATCAAAAACAAATAGCTTGCCATAACTAAGCTCCGCAATAAGATACAAGACTGTTATTTGGTACACAGGATCACATTAGGGAGGGGCATCTGCAGTTAAAACTTTTTTTAAAAAGTGGGCGTGGTCCCGCCTCTAATAGGTTTAATGTGCATATCTCCTAAACCGCTTATGCTATAATAACAATTCACTAGAAGCAAATGTTTTTAGCACTTCTATTGCCGGTGTGAAAATAGTTGAAATCGGGTGACAACTCCGCCCACTCCCCATATAACGGTACTGTTAAAAACTACTAAAAGCGCGATAAATCAAGCACTAAACACGCCAGAGACATTAAATTTTATCTCTGAGATGGTATGGGATGACTTTATAGGAACCGCGTTCAAAATTAGACAGTGGGCGTGGCACAGCCCACATTTAGGTGAAAACCCATATCTTGAGATCTGCTCAACCGATTTCAACCAAATTCGGTGCATAACGTTCTTCTTATGTTTCTATGTCATAGTGCGAAAATGGGCGAAAGCGGACTACAACCACGCTTACTTCCCATGTAACACCATTTTCAATTCCATCTGATTCTTTCACTTTCCACTATGCAAATCAGGTAACAATGATTATATCGGGGTAAAACTTTGCGTGAATAATGCAATTAAAGTATGCCACCTTGCGGCCAAAAATTGTCTAAATCGAACCAAAACTGTTCAAACCCCTAAGTACTAAATATGTGGGCCCCAGTGCCTATAGTTGACCTTCTACCGAAAATATCAGTCAATCCACAAAGAAATCTCAAACGAGTATACCATTTGACTTTGCGAGAGTATAAAATGTTCGGTTACTTCCGAACTTAGCCCTTCCTTACTTGTTTGTTCTTTTTTTGTACGGCCAACGAGTACTTATCTAACACTAGTTTCCTTTCATAAGAAACAAGTATATATTTTAGAAGTATATTAGAAGAAAAACTGAATTTGCATATGGGTATATATGTATTTCCGTGACGAGTTTAGCTTTCGAATTAAAGAGATAAGTCTACTTATCAAAAAAAAATTAAATGGAAAAAGTGATACGTAAAGCTAAATTAGCAGTGTTCGCGCTAAATCAAATGTTCACCGTACTTAGTATTTTACATTTCCGCCTGTGCTGACTTCGCGCTAGCATATTTGTTTAATTCTATTATTTAAAAGCTAACTTCCCAGCCCTAAAAAATAACATGGCCGAACTGGCTGGTAACGCGATTACAGCGGTTTCACACAAAATGGTTATTATGGCATAACATAATTACTTTATGCTAAGTCCACATTATATTCAATTTCTTGAAATCACCTCACCTCCCAACTTATTTAACTGCTTAAAATACTGTAGGGGTCACCACTATGCCGACGCTCGGTTAAGATTTAATGCTTAAAATATAAAATAAAATATTATATAAACATTTGTGTGCAGAATACATTTTATTTGAAGAATTTATTTGAATTATTCATTTTTGAGCATTAAATAAATTTTCGTTTTTTGAATAAGTATTAATTTTTTAATTTTTAATTATAAGAAAACGACCTTATTCTGAGGATTGTTTGGAGCATAGATGGCTTATGTCTTCTGACTATATGATCAAGAAAAGGGAGCGAGCTGTGTTCCTAGGAAATCAACTTAAGGTATGATTATAGGTAGCATTTTACAAAGTCTCAATGAATGAATTACAATTTTCTTCTAGGATTTTGCTGACATGTACAAGGATATTAAAGAAAGTCACGCCACATCAACCCAAACGATTACTCAGTCGCTAAATGGAGGGCCATCAACAACGCAGCTATTACGTTCAAATAGCATTCAGGAAGAACTTTATGCTACATTTTAAGCTTTCTTCTACATGTTGAATTATTGAAAAAATTATGTATAGTCAAATAAAAAATTATTAACATCGGCATTCATGTAAAAATTTAACAACATTTTTGTGTACATAACGAAATACACAATAAATTATATTTGGTAAATACATAATATATCCTTAATTTATTGTGATTTATGCTTGGTAAAACCTTTTTGAAAAGTCGCAACATACTTACTATTATTAGAAAAAATCTAGCATTGTATTTCAAACCATTTTATTCATCTTATCAATCATTTTTTTATATATTTTTTTTATAACTATAACTAATAAATCTTACTTTTTTAAATACTAGATTTAGGTAAAATATTGTATAGTGTTAAAGTCACCAAGGACTACTGACGGTCCATTATACTGTTCAGTTATTATTTTCCACTTGGTTTCTAAATTCCGAAAGTCTATAGCGGGGGTTCCTGTACACAAGTGATATGGAAACTGTTGAATTGTTTACGTTTAACAGTTGGTAAACGTTTGTTGAACCGGTGTCGTTCCTTGAAAATGTTCCTTCCGATGGACCTGGGCACCTATCTTGCTTGTAGTATATTATAAGGCTGTTGGCAGAGCGTCGTCGAGATGACCTTGTGTCTCCATCAAGGCGTCCAATAACCCGGTGGCCTTCCAATGGGAATTCTTCTTGAGGTAAGGCCCATGTCTCGGCACAGCACAGAATATCAGCAGAACAAATCAGCTAGTCTGATCTGATATCTTCAATATGCTTGTTTAGGCTATTTACATTTTGATAATAAATATCCAGGCGTTGTTCCGATTTTTCAGCCAAAAATCTGTAGCATGTCGTCAATGCTCCTTCTGTTTTCAACCTATTAAGCTGAGTTTTAATTGGATCATGCGGTCCAAATGGGTTCGGGGAAAAAATGTCCCGATTATATAATCCATTGGCACTTGTGGCTCTGCTACATCCTACATATAAAGGTGATCTGCTTACTCTGCCCTCTAGATGAACAGCAACTTGTGTGTATGTTCCACCTTGACTTTTATGTATCGTGATGGCTTCAGCTGGAATGACCGGAAACTGTCTGCGTTCGATGGTTATTTGCTCATTTCTCTTGTATTGGAATGAGCGGACCACGCTCATGATTTCTGTCCAATCTGCATTGCGACTGTGAGGCTGCTTGGAACGTGCAAAGCTTCCAACTCTTGATTCTGCGAATTTTATCCATAGTCCCAACCTGCATTAGTTCCCCGTAGCACCATTAACGAGACCATCACTTATGCTTATGTTGACTGTCACCATATATTTGATCGAAGTCTTGAACTTCAATTTATAAAGCATTCCATGTGTTTCTGATGGCTTGAAAGACTTCTAAAATGTTTGCCCTGCTGCGTTCTGTTAAGGAACTTAACTTAATTGTATCCTTCGCAGTCGAAATGAACTCTTCGGTCATCGTGTTTGCCAGTTATATAATATATATAATATAAATATAAAATATATTGATGGCTATATATCCCAAATGCTGTTTAGCCAGTGGGTGCGCAGAGTAACACCTTGGTTGTTTCGGGGTTGGCTCCTGGTACACCATTAGCTCGCAATGTCAACGACTGATATATAGTTGTTATAGGCCGACTATTGCCCACTCCAGCACCGCCTCCGACATACTCGAAAAAGATTTCCCTTTTACTAACATTGTGCATTACATAAGCAAAGTAGGTATTCCCTCTGTTTACTGTTAAGTGACTGCACCATTGCCAGTAAATCGTCTTCTAATGGTAGAGGTGGGAGTTTAATTAATCGAACCGACTCTTCCTCTGTATTGTTATGCTCTTGAAAAATATTAAAGTCTTCTGTTTGCTCTGGAACGGCTAGAGCTCTGAATTCGGGATCTAAAAGTTGTGAGGCAGCTCGATCATCAACTGTTTCTTCCGCTATGACATGAAGAATTTCCAAAATCCGTTCTAGTTCGTTCTTCGAAAGTTTGTCATATTTGAGCTTATTCAGTCAATTTGCTCCTTGTGTGCATTTCAAATACTCTCGACGTCATTTTTTATTAAGTCTGTTTCCTCATTTCTCCATGGGTGAAACATCATGGCGGTTTCTCTGAAGAAATCGGCTCTTGAACTTTCATGCTAAAACTTTTCCAACGCAAAATAAGGGCTTGCTTCCTTTTCCTTAGAAATCCTGATCGAAGTTCTTTGAGTACAGATAACCTTCATCATGCTGGATAAGGTTGCTAACAAAATTTTCATCCCTCATATATTCCTCGATCCAGACTTTTTACGCAAGAAAATGGAAATTGCATTTTTATTGCGCTCCAACTCGTAGAACTTATAAATATACAGGAGCACGTCCACGCGCACACAACGCTGTCATACCGTCGAATTTCAGAACGTGAAAATTTTACTGTTAGTTGTTGTGGATGTCCTCTTTTTTTTTTCTCTGATTTGTTTATCATATTGTATATTATTTGTAAAGTGGTTAAATCTAATTACAATGTAAATATATTGGAGAAGATTGATTAGTTATGTTACTCACTATTTACCATACAGGAAAAATTTAAGGCTTTAATTTTAAGCTTTTTTAATTTTAAGCTTTTTTTAGCAAGCTATATTACATTTCGGAGAAAATGGGTTCTCTGTTTAATGAAAAAAGTAAGTCATGCCAAACTTTGTGAAGATATTTTGTCATATAAAAAAGTTGCCCAAACAAGAACTTGATTTTGATCGGTCAGTTTTTATGACAGCTGTATGCTATAGTGGTTCGATCTTAACGATTCTTTCGAAGATTGAAGCCATATCTTAAGCAATAATCCATACTAAAAACTTCCATACAAAAATTTATTTTGATCGATCCGTTTCTATGATAGCTGTGGTCTGATATGAACAATTCGTTCGAAGATTGTAGCGATATCTTGGACAATCATCATCCATGCCATATTTCGTGAAGATAACTTGTCGTAAACAATTTTTTTCATATAAGAACTTAATTTAGTTTGTCAGTTTGTATGGCAGCTACATATATGCCATTGAGACCAATCCATGCCGGATTTCGTGAAGATATCTTATCTAATGAACAATTTTTCCATGCAACCACTTGATTCCGATCGTTCAGTTTGTTTGGCAGATATATACTATAATGATCCGATCTGCACAATTTTTTCGGAGATCGTTCAGTTTATATGGCAGCTATATGCTAAAGGAATCCGATCTGAACAATTTCTTTGGAAATTGCATAACTTTTTTTAGTAAAAACTCATACCGAGTTTCGTGAAGATATCTCCTCAGATGAAAGAGTTTTCCATACAAGTACTTGATTCCGATAGTTCAAGTTATATGACAGCTATATGCTATAGTGATCCGATATCGGCGGTTCCGACAAATTAGCAGCTTCTTGGTAAGAAAAAGACGAGTTCAAAATTTCGGATCGATATCTCAAAAACTGAGGGACTAGTTCGCGTATATATAGACGGACGGACAAACGGACATGGCTAAATCAACTCAGCTCGTCACGGTGATCATTTATATATATACTTTATATGGCCGTTTACTTTTGGATGTTACAAACTTCGTGGCAAAATTAATATACCCTGTAGCACCAGCTTACTATTTAATTAATAAAAATAATTATTCATAACATAAATGAATAAGTGAAATCACTGGACTGAAGCTTTGAAATAAAGTGTAACGCAAAAATTGGTGTACATACTTTGAATAAATTGCATGGTTTTCCTTCATTTCTTGCCAAGATTTCTTAGTTGTTAAGAAAATTTTAATATTGTATAAACTATTTTTCAAAAATGTTTAAAAAAGTTAGAACAGAATAATATTTGCAACAAGGATTCATACACAAGCAACTTATTTGCGAGACAATTTAACCAATTTTTTTTTAGCAATGTGGAAATGGAAAGTTTATTATCATTGAGACAACATTTCTTGGCATTTATTTTTTGAAGATTATCTCTTTGAAATGTTGGCCGCGGTTATGGCTCAGATTTTCCGTCTGTTGAGTCCAATTTTCGATGACTCGTTCGAGTATTTCGAGTGGTAACTGGCGAATGACACGAGCGAGTCTTTCTATGATAAAATGCCAAATAATACTGAACAAAAATAATATGACAGATTGACAAGATTTATACGTGATTTGTCAAAGAAAGGCTATTGAAAAAGTACCTCGGCCGGTGATTCCATCGGCCCACAAACCACACCAAACCGTTGTTTTTTATGAATGAAATGGCAGCTCCGGAATATCACCTGGTTGCTCTTCGTCATAAATACGGCTTTTTTGCTTATTTACATACCCATTCAGTCAGAAATGGGAATCATCGCTGAACAAAATTTGGATCGAAATCGTCAGATCTTCATTGAAATTTTCAAGAGCCCATAGAGCGAAGAGATATCGCATGGGTAGGTCAAGCGGCTTCAGTTCTTGCACATCCCGTATTTTGCTTTTAATTTAAGATCTCGCCGTAAACTGCGCCAATACGTTAGTTCAAGTTACTGCGAACGGCGCCGAATCGTCTCTCCACGGCCTCCGTATACACTCGCAGCTACAGCCGCTATATTTTCTTCACTGCGTGCTGGAAGTGGTCTATTCGGTCTAATATTATCGAATAATGAATTCTGAGTATCAAGATGGGTGATGGTGTTACGAATAGTACGGTCAGTAGGCCGATTATGTTAATCATAAGTTGAGCGAAGCGTAAATGTAAACTTTGTTCAAATGCAAGTCTTTTCATCATGAAATACCAAACAATACTGAACAAAAATATCATAACAACATGACACAACTCAGGCTTGATCTGTCAATAAAGGCTATTAAATAAGTACCTGTCCTTGCAAGCAATATTTCGCTCAAGATTGCCTTCAAAACATCGAATAGTCGTGCCACAGTTTCATACTCCACCGCAGATTTTGACATGTAGACGCTGCCCTTTTCTGCAATGGGATGCACTTCCTATAGAATTAATCTTATCGCTTCTAAAGTAGATATATCCAAATATTTCTTGGGTTTATTTCTTTACAAATAGGTATTGTTGTCAACATGAATATTTTTTAATAAATTGATATTACTCAAGCCTTTCGTTAGA